CCCTCCTTTTTTTTTTTTTTTTTTTTTTTTTGGAGAATTCGCCCTCAAACTTTTATTGGCTTAGTTAAGCAGATGCTTTGCGAATTTTCCCACCGTTCTGATTCCACATTTAGCTCTTTGTGTTTGCCTCGAGAAGTTCAAATGCGAACTCATATATAACTGATATTTCCTTTTTTTTTTTCATATGAGCAATTTTCAAACAGAGTCGCTGTTTGGATGCTTTATATAAAACTTGTTCGCCACCATCCAACTTCATGACAATCCAAAACAATTCAAATACGGCATAATTTGAGGACCCTTATTTAGTATAACATGCATTTAATCGCATGTGGGAAAAATCAGATGCACTTGTGCAAAAACAACTTGGTTTTTAAATAGAAATCCAAACAGACAAACATGCGCCGAAAGTATCCCAAATAATGCATTTACAACTGCATTAAAGCAAAGCAAACGCATTAGGTGAGGGAGATAAGTAGTATTTTGTTCATTTTTTGTCATTTTCCAGATTTTTTTATATTTTTTTTTTTTTTATTTTTTTTGATCAATTGTCCCGATTTATGGATCTGATTTGTAGTAGCGAAATTTTGTTTTAAAGGAGGAGTCTGAAGTAACTCTTTAAAACGAAAGTTCCATAAGATAGTGTCATCGTAGAGGCAAGATTCGGGACAAGGTGGGGATACGCAATACATACAAAAGCAACTAGGAACGGCTCCACCAAGTGCTTTTGTTGGAGACGAAGCAAACGTCAGCTTCGCCGGCTGACTTACCACGAGGTGATGCAGAATTGATCAGGATGATTGGAAAAGTTATATCAGCTGCATAGTTGAAGGACTGAACTTTAGCTGATCCAAGTAAGTAGGTATCCAGTCTGAAACTATACTTCGAACTGTAGTAGCTTTTTAATGCCCGCTCATAAGGTATTCTTATGGCGCAGCTTATTTAAACAATCCCAATACTGAAGCAAACCACAGTTATATTGCTGGTGGCGTGTGATGCTCAAATTCCGTTTTTCACTGCCAATTATCACAGACACATCGCTAGCGGTGAAAAACGCAATTCCGGGCATTCACTGCTTCGTATTAATCTTTTTTTTTTTTTTTTTTTTGTAATTTGTTAAGTCCCATGTAAACTGGTTTGTTCATTATCATTATTGTAGCACATTAGGCATCGATTCAAAGACATTCATTGTATTTTTGGAAAACTCTTTAATCCCTTCCATACACATATTTTTAATCCCATACACACAGACATGCACATCCATCATTTCACCAATGCTTATGTGGATAACGTACTAGTTTGAATCGAACTGTGCGTTTTAAAGGAGGAGAATCTTGATTTTTTCTTTTGTACCTTGCCGTTTTCATTGGGCGTATTGTTGTTAGTTTAGTCCTTTCAGTGGTTCTGTTGTAAAGTTTTCTACCAAAACTTCTTTGTTATAAGTTTTTGCTAATTTTGAGCGCCGTTACTTAGATTTTGTTTGCTAGATATTTTCCTTTTGGTGCATTTTTGCTGGAGGACGCATTACGTATGGAGCACATGTCTGCACCCCAACCGCTCCTTTTTGAGTCAGTAGTTAAAATTTCTCAGCGCGGTGATAAAGTCCTTTAAGTACTTAGCTTGTTCATCCCAAGGTCTTGGCCCCACAGCCGCTTGTCCCCAGTTCCTGTTTTGCCATTGAGCAAATCTTTAGTCCCTCTTAGCGACATCTGTTCCGGCCATCCGAGCAGGAAATTCCATCTGTCGCAACAACTCCGGCCAACAGCGCCTGCCTTCAGAAAATTCCGGCCGTCTGCTGCAACAACTCAAGCATTTGGACCAAACAGACTTAATTTTTAGGATCATTGGCAATTTGCTGTTTTGACCTTGTCTTATTTTGTAATGGTAGTCCCCTCAGTGATGTTTTCTGTCGCTCAGAAGCTGATTTTCGGGTTTCTTTCAGCTTCAAATTGTTTCTGCTTGTATAAATAACAGCATAATATTATCAAAGCACTACTACTTATCTCGGGATCTAGCATAAAGTTTTTTGCTGATTTATCAGCTACAAACGCGTTTCGGAAAAATTTGATCTCTGGGCCTTTGTAAGATAGACAGAATTCTCGAATTGCGCCGCCTGGTTTTTAGCTATTCCCCCGCTCAGGGCAAGTCAGTGTACTTCTGGGCCATGTAGTAGTGTAAAGGGAGGGGGAGGAACATACTTTACTTTGATCAGTTGCAATTCATAGCGTGTTTTCTTAACTATGTAGTTCCTAGTTTGTTCAGAAAGAACATACCAGGATTACCAGGACTGCTTGGGCATCCCCTGTTAGTGATGTTACTAAAATGCTCCCACATTCCGTTCGTAGCTGTTCTAGACTCTGTGATCCGAGAAGGATATAAGCTTTGAAAAAAACTAGAAAAAGAAGTAGCAGTTTACCAAATTCTGCAGTTTAAAGTGTGCCATTGCCGATTGAAATTGCCTAATTCTCCCGTTTTCCTATGCTTCTGTTGTTTTTCTATAGTCAGTTGTCACTGGTCCTTGTTTTTCCTGTTTAGAGATTGGAATTCCATCGACTGGAATTACAATCCTTGAAAAAGTGGTGAAGATTATGCTTATTTACGCAGTCCTAAGTATATAGCAAAAATGCATGTTTTCGTGGTCTGCAGTCACTTCTGCATCATTTTCATCCCTTTTAGGAAGCAGTTTTCCTCCATCTATTTCTGAATGTGATGGTTTTCGTCAACTTCCGGACCCCTTGTGCAGTTAGCCGTCATGTGAATTAGGATAAATCATCATCTCGCTTTTTTGGGCTTTTCGCTTCAGATTTTTTGTGCTCTGATTCGTTCCCTAGTGCTTCGCTTCCTTTTTTGCCCAAACTTTTGTTATCAGCCGTAATGTTAGTCAGTGCTGATAGATGTTTGTTGTACAGAATTATAACCGGAGACGTGTCTCCAGTTTCTGCGAGATTTGTCTGCAAATAGCCCATACGGTAACTCTTCGTGGCACATTCGTTGGGCCGTGAGTTATCTCAGTTGACGAAGCCACGAGTTCCATTCGAACTGTCGCGCAGTGTTTCCAGCGACAATGCTTGCTATTGTTTTTTTTTTTCTAGGTGGTAAAATCTTCAAATTTCGGAAGTGTGATTCAGCCTGTGCGTGGATGTCCTGCATGCGCTTTTTGCTGTTTGCGCATTTTTTGCAGATTGCTCAACAGGCTTCTCTCTTTGTGCACACTATGAGCAGCAGTGTTGAAGCTGCTTGCAGCACTATCCATACTATTTCAGTTACTCGTTTCATTCTTGGACTGTCCACTCACTTGAAGCAACTATCAGAGCAGTTTTCGCGGATGTTATGCACACGACTGTGAGGAATAATGAATTGTTTCTGTTAAGATTATTGTTTTAACGCAAAAAAAAGGAATTCGAGTATTTCCAAAATTACAGCATCCTCCTCGGGACAGTGGACAGTGGTCATTCCACAGTAATAAACGTGCGCTCACGCGCCTATTGCAGCAATGCTAGGATCTGGTCAACGCTTGCCACCTGAGCTCTGTGGCACTCTTCGGTGCTGCCCAAATGGTTGCCTTTGCTCTGTGGATTACGCAGCTGATCAGTTTCTAGTGATAGAGATATTAATCACGATATATATAAAACAGCATGCACTAGTCCCTCATCCCTACTAGATAATTTCGTGCTTGCAGTGTTATCCCCTATTCGTTACTGGTCTGATCACAGCCCCGATTGTTTCCGGAAATACTATTTATGTGCTGAATTCAACAGTCAAAATCCTCTCCGTATTTCGCTGGCGGCCGACTGGTAGCAAATGCCAGTAGCAATCACACTGGTAGCAAATGCTCAAGGCTGTCGATGATTTTCTCTTCTGCGGGTTGCTTACGTACAAACAAATTGACTCACTGACGTAGTACCAATTTACCGTCGAAATGAATCGCAGAGGGACTGGCTGCCCCACTGGCAGAATCGAACCTTCGATCTACTGCATGACAACATTGCAATCGCTGATATTGTTGCCGGAGACAGCGGCTGGTACTGGGACAGAGTAGGACGGAAAGAAAGAGTGAGAAGGAATGTCTGCTGTTGCATATAAAAGGCTGAAATGAGACCCCAGTCCATTGTTTAATATTGTTGAGGTAGCACGCCGGTGCTCATGCGGCTGCTTATGTGTTTTCACAAAAGGAGGCGAGAATCGGTTGGTTGGCCGCTGTTTGTTGCTGTTAAGCCAGTTCGCTTTGGAGGTAGGAGCGCCTTCTTACGGCACTGTCTTAAAATTATCTGGATTTATCGGTCCTGGTGGGGCTCACCGTGAGATTCGAAGATAAGAGCGCAGCGTCAAAGCGCAGTTTGTTTTGGGATAAGCTGGGACTGGCCGTAGCGTGCGCACATTTTATTGGAAGAATACTGTTTAAAAATTTTTGCAGAAGGAAAGCGACGAAAACAAAACGGAACATAAACAAAATGATCGAAAAATTGTGTAAGCTAAAAGTTATGACAAGTAAACGTAATCGAGCCTCATATTTCCGCACTTCGCAGATTTTAAGAGCTGCTAAAACACGACTCGGCTCGGCCCGTCTCACACACGAGCTGCAAAACAAATTTTTTTCCAGGAGGCAGGTAGGGTTGGCCCCCGACGGATGGCGGTAGTTTGAATATGGTGCCAGCGTAAGTTAAAAAAGTAGAAGGGAAGGGTTTTTATGGCTTTTCAGGTCACGCATATATGATGTGTAACGTATAGGGTAGGCGCATTTTACAGC